CCCCCCCCAGCCCTGTCCTCTCCCCCAACCAGCCGGGACTCACCCATGTTGAGTGTGACGGTGATGATGTTCAGGGACATGGTGGAGTCAGTGACGCTGCTGAAGGATGAAGCCTGTGGGGTGGGCGCTGGGATGAGGGCCCAGAGCACGGCGGAGGCAGGTCCCACCTAGCCCTGCTGCCCCAGCCCCATGGCCTACCCGGTCTGTCTGTCGCAGACGCTGCTTCCGCCGCCGGCGTTTGTGCTTCCGGATGAGCCGGGATGAGGTGCTCTGCTCCGTGGAGCTACTCAGCCTGGGGGCGTGAGGTCAGAGGTCACAGGTCAGAGCAGGCATTGAGGGGGAGTGAAACCCTGCGCCCATGGTGGCCAGAGTGAACCTGGAAACCGCTCAACTCGGGCTAGTTTGCTCCACAGCAGGCTCATCTACTGTTGTTCACGCCCCCAAGCCCCACGCACGTGAGCTTACCCAGGCACCCCCGCAGACCCCAACACATGTTACCAGCTCAGCCATCTAAACACACACAGACATGTAAGCATGCATGCATCATGCACACAGACACACACATGCCTGTACAGACACATGCATACACCTTCTGCAAACATACATACCTGTGCATGCACATGATACATGTACATGCCTACGCACACACACATATGCCTGTGCAGACACATGTACACAGACACATGCACATACCTTATACACACACACGCACGCCTGTGCACATGAACACATGCACACCCGTGCAGACACGTATGCACACCTCATGCACAGGGAGACACATTCACTCCTGTGCGCACACACACGCACATGGCTGCACAAACACACACACCTCAGGTATGCGGAGACATGCACACACGCATGCCTGAACACACGCAGACAAGCACATGCCTGAGCACAGGCACGCCCTGGCACACCTGCTTGTGTTGCCATCCTCATCCGAGTCCACAAAGCTGCTGGACTCGAGCTCACTGCTCAGCAGGGTGGAGGCGCTGTCCGGGGGCAGTCCCAGCTCCCTGCGCCGCTCTCCCCTTGGGTGCCCGTTAATCCTGGCAGCTGTGGGGACCGCAGGGAGGGCTCTGACTACAGGTCCCCGGGGGCGTGGGGCCAGGTGGCCTGGGCAGTCTCAGCTCCTGCTGTTCTGGGAGCTGGCTGCATGACGATGGGGCCGGCCAGGGACCTCTACCCAGGAGCCTCCGCTGGCCGGGGGGCAGTGACGGGGTGTGGACAGGAGCCCAGGATGACCATGGGGGCCCCGGGAGGCATGGGGCCGGGGTGGGGCAGGAGTGACCACAGTACCCTCCTCACGGTTCCGACGCCGGGCGCGCTCCCGCCGGTGGCTGACCAGGGATTCCGTGCCTGTCTCGTTGTCCATGCCGTCCCGGCTGCCGGCCACATTGGGGCTGCGCAGGGAGAGCAGGTGGGAGAAGCAGCTCGGACACCCCCCAGCCTGCCCCCCGCCAGCTGCTCTGTGGCCCTCTCACTGGCTGGCCCCCCTCCCGGACGGCCCAGGCTGCAGGCTCCT